CTACTTGGGGTTGTTTCAAAGCAATTTAGCAGTAACCTGTGAAGAAATGGAGACCTTCAGTATTTATTCTGAAGTGGTTTGAGAGTGTTATTGGAAACAGAGGGCAGTGGATTAAAAACAGTGTACATACTAATCTATAACAGTACTGAGTTGCTCACTGAGGAGCTGAATGAGGAAGCTGAAATCCTTGTCCATTTGGGGAAAGTTAAACTACTGCATGTTGGCAAGGATTGTCCTGAGGAATTGGTGTCTGTATACAGTTTCTCCCCTCTGCTGACAGTCACTGGATTGAAAAATCTCCATTGTTTCTAATATTGACATGGGGAACTTAAATATTTAATTTTTTTAACATGATTTTGTATATCCTAATGAGAGTTTGAAAGACTGATTTTGCTTATAACTGGTTCTTTAAAAATGTCCTCTGTACAAGACTTCAGTGTCACATGTGTTGTTTGGTAGTTGTGTACAACTCGGTTCAACCGACTTTTCTCATATTGAGCAGTAATTCAATAGTAAGGCTTTAAGGTTAACAAGAAGTTTGAGGACACCAAATGTTGCTAAGACTCTATGCTTTGGAAGTAAAAACTCCAGAGTTTCCTTCAGAGTTTATTATCAATTTGGCTCATTCTCTGAGAAGCTTTGCTTCCAGCCTCGAATATGTGTCAGTGCACCAGAACTGCGCAGTGCTGTTGGGGCTTGTGGAGCTGTAGTAGACTGTGATGCTACATTTGGAGACTCCTGTGTATTTTCTTGTAAAAGTGAGGTGGGTAATAACAGACCTTGGTGTAACCTGTCTCCTCACACTGGACAGCTTTGAGTGAACACGAACATGACAACTTACCCCTTCAAAGCTATTAGAAATAAAGGAATAGCTTGATCTGCTGCTTTATCCTGAATAGACTTTAACTGTGGGCCCTTCCCCTAAAGCATGTGATCCCATTTCATCATTTTTTTCTTTGTTTTGACTCTTCATGAGCCATCTCCAGTCTGTCATTATGTTTTGCTTTATTTTATATTTCCTTGAAGCCTTTGTGCCCCAGTACTGTACACAACATTCCAGGAGCATCAGTAGTAGCACCACCACTAATTTCACAAATAGTGATGTGAGAACCACTATCACTCAGCAGCATTCCTCGTCCTTTGTCCCCACATGCCCCACACTGCCTCACTTTGTCCCCTTAAAGGTTGCTGTGGTCTGGTTGCCCTGGCACAATGCTGGAAGCTTACAATGATCCTCTATAGCTGCTTCACCCCCTTCTTCCTCTCTGCATGGTTCTCTGCCATTGCCTCTGTGGTGGTGCTGATTTTCCCCACTGAGTAAGCATCGTCTGTGTTCCATACTTCATGTTTTAGTTTGTGTTGTCTGCATTGAAACAAAAATAACCAGATGGTATATATCCACCACTGGGCTTAATTAGCTGCTTTAAATTATTTCAGATTACTGATGTTCCCTAAGTGGTTTAGAGATGCCGTTTTTATGCCTTCCTGCTAAGTTGTGAAGGACTGGGTGATCTCTGCCTTGCCTCTGCCCTGCAAAATGAGTTCAGCCAAATGTATCATTCAGGTTCTATAAACTTGCAGCCAGTGTGGGCTGACAAATCTTGTTGCCTAGACCTACACAAGAGGTTGTTTGACATAATCTGGCGGTTTAAAAAAACATTTTTCTTTTTCCTAGTGCAGAGACGGTTTTATTTAGGGAATGCAGGGGCTCAGTTATGCTGGAAGTCTCCAGAGCTTAAAGACAACCTGCAGAGTTTTGTCAGAATCCTGACTGGGGTGAAAAACTAGTTTGTCTTTTCCCTTGTGGTGCAATTCTTCTGCTCTGATTAGCTGTCAGATCTCCTGAGCGTTCTGTTCGCTTTGGCTGCTTCAACAATGAGTCCGAGTGCGCGAGGACAGCGTTGTGAGGAGGAAAACGTTGGATGTTTGCCTCCTCTTCAGATGGCTTTTGCTGAAGAGGTCTTAAAGGGATTTAGATGGGGATGAGTCCTTAGAGCGGAGGAATAGGTTTCCAACTTGAAGGGCTTATTGTTGTCTGGCTGGAGCGTGCCTTTTGTTCAAGTACAGACTTTCAAAAATAAAAATAGTGTAAAAGTTGTGGTGAGTAGAAGACCTGTATTGACTGAAACGGCAGGAGCAGCAGTGCAGAGCGTTTGGCTGGTGGGACAGCATCTCTGCTTGTTTAAAAGTTGTGCTTCCTTGGGGCAGAGAAGAAAGAGACTGCTTAGAGGCAGGCCATTATTTTGGGATTTCCCCCCCCTGCCCCACAGTCACAACCTTTCAGAAATATTTTACGTTTGGGACTTGAGTTGGGGAAGCTTTCCTCTCTTTCTTGAAAGCTTTTGTATGTGTTCAGATTTGATGTGACATCTGGGCACGCTAAGAGGAAGTGGGGGGTAGGGAGAAACGCTGGAGAAGTTTCTTTCCCTGCCTGTGCATAATTAAGGAGCATGCCTCCTGGGAACGGGGAATAAAGGCACCCCAGGCCCTGCCACGAATTACATGACTTACTGTGGGACTCAAAGTGGGCTTGACAGTTGCCAGAAGGGCGGCGGGTTGCAGCCACCTCCAGGCTGCAGGGCTGGCTGCTGGGAGCTGGGCAGGAGGGCTGGGAGCAAAACGGGGCCCAGCAGAGAAAGGTCTGTGCCTCAGGACGGGCTGACCCCACCAAGCAGTGTTGTGGCTGAGCCTGAGGAACAGGACCAGCCAGTAGAACAGGAAGCTTGGCAGAATGGAGGCATCCCAATGTGGGACTGTTGCGTGAAGGTGGAGAATGGGAGTAACTTTTTTGCACAGGCTGTCAGGTTTTGTGCCCTTTGGAAGCAGGGAAGCCTGTGGCAGCCGCAGAATGCCACATCTGAAATCAGACTCCTGGCAGAGGATTACAGCTCTGTGTAACTCAGAACTGGCAGTGCAGAATTTTACTGTCTCCCTGTGTACAGATGTTGTAAAATACAAGAGTGAAATATGTTACAATTTAATTGACCATGACAATATATCTGTAATTCCAGGTGATTTATAGCATTGTGTGCTACAGAAAACTGCTCTCCTTTGGTGAAGGAGGCAGGAGGGCAGAGAAGTGCGAATGAAGATCCAAGGTTTAACAAATAAAACAAGGGTGGGAAAGTTTCTGAGACAAACAGTGCTGTGGTGAGGTCCCTCTGTTATGGAGAACAGTGTTCTGAGAAATGCAGTGAAGCTGTGAGGGGTGTGAAGCACAAGTGTTAAGATGAGTGGCTGAAGGAGCTGGGATCTTTCAGTCTGGAGAAGAGGAGGCTCAGGGGAGACCTGATTGCTCCCTACAGCTGCCTGAAAGGAGGTGTGGTGAGGTGGGGGTCAGCCTGTTCTCCCAGGTAACAGTGATAGGATGAAAGGGAATGGCCTCAAGCTGTGCCAGGGGATGTTCAGGTTGGGCATTAGGAAGAATTTCCAAACAGCAGTGAGGCAGTGGCACAGGCTGCCCAGGGAGGTGATGCAGTCACCGTCCCTGGAGGTGCTCAAGAACCATGTGGATGTGGCACTGAGGGATGTGGTCAGTGGGCATGGGTTGCTGGTTGGATAAAGTGATTTTAGTGCTCTTTCCAACCTTGGTGATTCAGTGATTCTGTGAATGCGCACAGTCTTGCTGGCATACAGTGGTGATTCTTGCATTACACAAGATTACGTGGAACCCAATGCGTGCATCTCCTAGTTGAGAGAATGATTGAGGCCACAGATGAAAACCAACTCCTTGACTCCCCACTTTGCTGTAAGGATGATAGATGGCTTGGGATTTATTTCTTCAGCACTTAAAAACTGTCTTTCATTTTTGTGAAATCAGAGTGGAGCTGGACAGTCACCGATAAGCTGAGGTCTTTGTATTTTGTGCTAGTGGATGGTTTATTCCCTTCAGGTACTACTTTTGGAATAAAATGTACTTAGACTAACAAAATCTTGTTCATGTTTTTTTTTGTTGTTGTTGTTGCTAACTTGCAGGGAATAGTAGTGATTACTTTGTTTTTCAGTTTTTTAGGTACATGTAGGAATTCAGTAACTCCAAGTATTTTCCCTTGAATGTACAATAATTTCAACTGAGAACTAAGTACTAATGTAGTGGTGTTGTATGGCTTTTAAAACGAATCTGTAGGTATATATTTGTATATAAGCATTCATTTGACATCTTCATATATGACACAAATAGTTTTTTATTGCTTTTATCGTGTACAAATCGAGTCTGAAATGTTGCTGTGTGAAAATGAAAGTAAATCTCTAGAATTACTGAGGTCATCCTAAGAGTGTAGTGATGGACAGCATACTCTTTGCTCCTGCTTCCAATTCTTTTTGTACTCTGTGTAAGTAATGCTAGCATGTCTTTATCTGGATTTGCTGGACACTTGTTAAAGAAGAAATTTCACAGCTGCATTTGACATCACCGTATATTAACACATTGTCTCCCCCCTTTTCTTTTCTCCTGCAGGTGCTCAATACTTGCCTGTAGTGCTTATGTGGCTCTGGCTCTGGGAGATAACCTTATGGCACTGAATCATGCAGATAAGCTCCTCCAGCAACCAAAGCTGTCAGGGTCTCTGAAGTAAGTCTGACATCATCGTTTCTTCCTCTTTTTTGCTGGAGAGCTTTGAGCTGGAGCTTCTCGTGTCTGTAGTAACAGTATTATGATGATGGTAATAACGGTACTTGGCAAAATTGGTAACATATAATGTACAGGTGGAGAGCAATCTAACTTGTGCCAGTTTTAAATGCTGGAGGCAGCATATTCTAGAATGTTCTGTATCAATTAGTTTCTATGTCCATCTTCAAACTACTGTAGAAGCTCATCCTTTTGCAGTGATTAAAGCAGGAGTTTAGACAAGTTTGTAAGGTAACGTGTAGTTTTCTGCAGTGCTTTTTTAATGCAAGAAATTCAAGGCTACAGTTGTTTGCAAAAATAGAGCCCTGTATCTTGGTGCCAAGAAGCAAAGCCTCTGTGTAGCACTGAACTGTTCCTGTTAAGTGACACATAGGTTAGTTACATGTAAGAAGTTACTCTTGTTTTAGCACATCTCACTTGCAGAAGTTTTTTTTGAGTGATGCTTTTTAATAATTCATTACAGTCAACTATACAGTTAATTTGAAATGTACATTATACAATTGCATGCTCAACTTTTGTTTCAGATTAAAGCTTAGTAAATTAACAGTGCTGTGAGTCAACAGGACTCCAAAGCTGCTGAATAGCCAAGCTACTGCTGGCTAGCATCAGGCTTGCTTAGTTCCGTGGTAAAGACTTGTGTTTGGAAAGCTGTTTGTGCCCTATGGACAGGCCTGCAGATACGTGGTGTCCTCGGGATCTTACCATGCAAACATCTTAGAGAATTAATTATTACTGAGTGCTTACTTAACACCTCCAATTATAGGTGTCTTGGTATCCAAGGGGTGTTTGTGTAAACATTCATTTTTTCCTTCTTGGAAGAAAAGCTGTAGTAGTGTCTGTCCAGAGCGTTGGTCCCTGTGTACGAATTGATTCTCAGAATTCACTGGAGTCAGAATGGAGCATTATGGCAATACTTTACAAGCAAACTAACTTTGTGTATATCTATTAAGTAGTAGCTTTTAGATGGTTGAGTTAAAGTCTGAATTCAGTTTGTTTTTCATAAGAGTGGCAAATTTTGAGGGTTGCCATGCTGACACACCTGACTCTTTGCTGTTGTAGGTTTCTTGGGCATTTGTATGCAGCAGAAGCTCTCATCTCTCTTGACCGAATATCTGATGCCATCACTCACTTGAACCCTGAGAACGTCACTGATGTTTCCCTTGGGATCTCCTCAAATGAGCAGGATCAAGGTTAATGAATCCATACTTCATTAGAACCAGTTGTGCTATCAGTTGCCTTCCTGCTGTAACTGTTACGTAAATACAGTGATGATGAAGGCACCTCATTTTAAGACCATAACTTGTTTGGGGCTTGTTGGTTGGTTTGTTTGCAGAGCTAATTTTCTTACAGTGCTTTCTGTTGGTAATACTTGCGTTCTGAAGCAGAAAAATATGTCAAGGGCTCACCTGTATGGCTAAGACTGCAGTAGCTTTGATCTCAGTAATGCCTGCAATTTGAACTTCATTGTTCTCATCTGCTAAAGACCAAAATGTTTTCCCCTTCAGTGGCAGACCAGAGTAAAAGCAAATTTGTATCTGCTGGTCTGTGACAAATGAATTTTGTAATGATCTTGAAAAAGCTGTCAGAAAATGATGTTTTGTGTTTCGGTTTTTTTTCTTTGTAGGGTCTGACAAAGGAGAGAATGAGGCGATGGAGTCTTGTAAGTACCAGCCAGCATGTTCAGCAGGGCATGGGAACTTCTGTGGGTGGTTCAGAACAAAAGTCTTACTAAAAGGATAACTTACTTTACTTGCAGCTGGCAAGCAGACCCCCCAGTGTTATCCCAGCTCAGTCACATCTGCACGGACAATGATGCTGTTTAACCTTGGAAGCGCTTACTGCTTGCGGAGTGAATACGACAAAGCTCGAAAGTGTCTCCACCAGGTATGGGAGGTGAACCTCAAGTGGCTTTAGGGACAGATGCGCTCCCTACAAAGTGTCATTTAGATCACAGCAGATCCTGGTGATTTCATAGCTCGTATCAGTTGACTTTGCTCAGATGGTGGCTCCATTCTGCCTTCATGAACTAATCTATATTAGTAATATAAAGGAATTCCAGAGTTTGTTCTCGTGTGAACAGTTCAGTACTGTTGTGTTTTTTTTCCTAGGTTATTTCAAAACAGCAGGATACAAAGGAGCCTTTTCACTTTTCCTAAGGTTTTGTTTAATGGTTTGATAGTTACTGTTGTATTCTAGAAAATAAACTTCTCAAGGGCTTTGGCTCCATGTGCAGGGACTAGTCTGGGGGCTGGTGGGGACACTTAGCAGAGCTGTGCTGTTCTGAAGCTCAGCTCAGGACCCAGCTCAGCTGGAGCACAGGGATGTTCCTTCAAGCCAGCTGAAATCAGTGGTGTGCCAGTGCAGTACATCAAGAGTAGGAAGTCAGATATGGTGTTTGTGTAGAAGACAGCATCATTAACTTTGTAGGTGAAAAATATTAGTATATGGAAAACTTATGATGTTCCTTATTAACTTTGTGTTCTGAACTTCAGAGCAGTGGAGGTTACCTTCACCTCTCAGCAGGAAGTTGCAGGCTGGCCCAAGAATGACAGACTCACATTGACAGAAGCATACAGCAGATGGTGCTACTAATTAGAGTGAAGCAATCCAGCAAGGCAGACAATCTTTCAGTCTCTCCTTGCAGGAATAACCCGAATAGAATATATTGGTTTGAAAAATCTTGTGTTATGAAGGATTCCATTTTGTTAAAGGTGGCCAGGGTCTGCTCAGGGGGCACTTTGAGCTCAGCCTTTCTCTTAAGCACTTTTCTCCCCACCCCTTGTGTTTCAATAAGGCTGCTTCGCTGATCCACCCCAAGGAGATCCCTCCGGAGGCTATCCTGCTGGCCGTCTATCTGGAGTTACAGAATGGTAAACAATTTTATTCTTTTCTTGACATGAAAACAACGTAATATGTAGGCTGCAGTGTTGAATGCAACTTTTGGCATCTTTATCATCTTTCCTTGAAGCTTACGCCTAACAGAGGCAAAGTTGTAGAACACATCTGTAACATTTTAAAATGTTCTCAGTCCAGAATTGGGGTTGAGCTGACATCAGAGTTTTGCCAGGATTCTGGCAAACCCTTCAGATGCTGTCTCCATTTTACACTGCCACAGATCTACCTATGGATCCATGCATCTGCACCCTCATGTCTATGCAACAATTGCTTGCAAACACATGGGGTTTTCTTCTGTTTGAGTTAGTTTGTTTTTATGGCTTCATAACAGAAGCCATAATCTTCTTGGTAGAAGGGAGCGGATGTTGGTATTTGGCTGGCAGTTCCTGCTGCTAGGCCTGCACAACCCTTCCTACATGAAGCTGTCTTCCTAACCATACATCTTTTGAACTGAACTTTCTTTGTGCTTTGTGCAGTAGCAAGCAGTCCTGGAGAGTTTCAGTAGCTTGTAATGGAGCACTCTAGAGAAACTCTCAACTTTGATAGCTCTCTTCCAAATCTGTCCTTCTCATGAAAGCAGTTCAAAAAAAGAAAATCTATATATAGGAAGCAGAAAATCTTGCACTTTGTTCGGACTGCTCAGTGCCCTTGGTTCCCTTTTAGGGGATCCCTTCAGGTGTCTCACATCACAGGGATGGAGGGGACTTGAGCATTTGTGTTCTGAATGGAGAAAGATGTTTCCAAGTTGGAATTTTGGAAGTGTTTCCTTCTGTAACAAAGAAGCACGGAGTGGAAGAGGGTACCAAGTTGGGTTTACCTCTCACATCCTCTTAAGTATAACCTAAAGGGTCTACACTTTGTTCTTAAGTGGCAACAGAAAGGCCCTTCTGAAAATAAAACTTCAGTGACAGTGATGTATTGGGTAAGGTGGCAAAATATTCTTTTCAGAACTTTGCTGTTTTTCTCCTACAACTACAGGAGTTTTAACAAAGCTATTTTTTTTCCAGTTATATTGCTGCTTACTTGCTGAGCTATACATAGCAAAAAATGAGTCTTCTCTTCAGAACGCACTTCAGAAGGGGCTCTGCACCTTCCAGCTCAGAAATTTAGCTGGGCATCTTCTGCTCAGCATCAGTAGAATTGAGCACTGTGCTTGTTTCAGACTTACTTCAGTACTTTTCATGTCTGCGCCAGCTCCTCACTGAATGCGAAGTGTGCTTGTGCCTGGGTCCAGCTGCAGGCCTGACAGGGACCTGACACCACAGCTCAAGAATTGCTGCTCTCATGGCAGAGTTGTTATTGCTGTTTTCAATTGCAGGTAACACTCAGCTGGCGTTGCAGATCATCAAGAGAAACCAGCTTCTCCCTTCAGTGAAAACGCTCTCAGACATGCGGAAGAAGCCCGTTTTCCAGCCGGTCCACTCGCTCCAGCCCATTCAGATGCCGACTTTCACCGCTGTGCAGAGGAAGTGAGGGTCTGTTGAGCTCACTGCTGCCCTTCCTGGGAGGGCTGGGGATTTTGTATATTTTTTTAACCTCAGACATCTGCATACCCGGATTGCTGGAGTGTGTTCCTTTATGTAAATTTTTAATAAAACACTTAAATGTCTCCAGTCCTGCCGTCTTGTCGGTAAAGGTTATTTTATAATGGAACAGAGTTTGGGATCCGTTTGAAACATGAATGGCCTTTAATGGGGCAAGTGGTGCAGTTAACTAAGTGTGTAATCTCTGCTGTTTGAAGGGATGAGATGGGAGGGCAGTAAATCTGAGGGAAACGCTGTTTATCTGAAGTTATGCTGACACAGCAGTTGTGCAGTATGGGTGCAGTGCATTTTCACCTAGAGGGGAACATTTATGGGTATGGTTGTGACAGACAATGAGCACAAAGGGGAATTTGTACTGAGTCCTGCAAGCAGTGTGCCTCTATTTTGATTTCTGTCTTCTGATTTCTTTTTTCCTGCCTTTTCTGCTCAGACCAACATAAGACATCAATAGTAACAAGGACCATTTGCTCACTTATTTATTGTGAACACGGGTAAAGAGCTGAGGCCTCCAACCATAGGCCTTAACCCAGAGGAAAGTGAACCAGGGCTCGGCATGGCATGTAGCTATTTCCCCTGCCCCCTCTCTGCCCAGTTTGTGCTGTTTTAGCTGTTCTGAGACAGTCTGGGAGAGCTGGGATCCCACCTTATCTATTTCCCCGTGTGCTCACTGCTGGCACTGCACTTTGCCTCTGGCCCCCTCGGGGCATACACAGCAGCAGGGAAGGTCACAGAGCCGGGCAGCTGCTGGGGAGGGGGAGCCTGAAAGTCTTGCTCAAAGGAATGTGCATGTGAGCTCACTGCAGTTGGGTACTGGGTGTCCCATGTTTGCCCCTAAGATGTTGAATGGGAAAAAAGCCACAGCTGCTAGAAAAGGCACTGTGTAAGTCTGTTAAACAAAGTGCAGCGTGGCTACATGCTTCTCTCCCTTCATGTTGGGTAAAGGCTGATGCAGTGCAGTAGCACGCTTTGGCACAGCCTCTCCCTTTGGGGAAAGGGCAGCCCTGAGTCTTCCTGAGGCTGTCAGAGTGCTGGATCAACAAGTATGTCACATTTCAGCCAGTTGGTGTAGGAGTGGCACCGACACTGTCCCGAGGTAGGGAGGAGCAGTCCGAGTTTATCAGTATCACCCACACTCTGTAAAGAAGAGAGCCCCAGTGCCGATGCATGGTTCGTGTCAAAGTAGATTGACCGATTCAGTACAAAAAGGTCCGAGCCGCTTGCTGTGTGGTCCCACGTCCTGAATGGAGAGGATTCTTCCCGGTCCTTCCCAGCCCCCCAAGGAATGCGGCGCATTCACATGCAAAACCGCAGCGCGACGCCCGCAGGCACGCAGCGCTGCCCCGACTGGGGGTGCGGCCCCCGCCCGCACGGAGCGCTCATCGCAGCGCCCTTCAGCCGCGCTCAGGGACAATGGCTGCGCTTCTGCCCTCGGGGCTGCACTGCCCGGAGCGGCCGCGGGATGCTGCCGCCGTGCTGAGGCCTCCGCACCACGAGGGGTCAGGGCCGGGGGCGGCTCCCAGCCGAGCGGCAGCGCTGGCATGGACGTGAAGAGCGCCCGGCACGGCCCGTAGGGGCTCTTGTCACCACCGCAGAAGGACACTGCGTCGTGACTTATGTCTCTTCACAGCACCTCGCATTCCTTCTCCCCTTGCAGAACTGTGCCTTCACGTTCAGGTTTTCAATAGTATCTCAGTAGTATCACAGCAGCATCACCAGCTGCAGACAGGCAGGCTCACAGCCAGGAGAGGGCTTAATGTTTTTTTGTTCCCCCTTTTGCATCCTGACGGAAGAGAAGTCTTTACTGATTAATACAGAAAAACACACACACGGATTTGCCATGAAAAACAAAAACAAAACAAAACAAAAAAACAAACAAAAAAAACAACTCACATTTATTTGATTAAACAAAAATAAAATAAACTGCATAGGAACATTTTAAAGTCCAGAGAGACACTGACTTTGTTTTAAGGCTGCCAGTAGCTGATACATCATCTCCTTGCTACATCCTTCAGCCTTCCCTATGGACCACAGAGATACATTCAGAAGCCTCCATTAACACAAAAAGTTCTAACGTTTTGCTCACTTATCCTACGTAAAAGTTTGCACATAACCTGTCACGCTTTCCTTCCCGCAGTACTCAACAGCCCCACATCTCAAACGTCACCTTTTGTCCAAGCAGAAATGTGATGCCCTGTTTGGAGCACAGAGGTTCTTGTCACAGCCTGTTTCATTATCCATTAGATATAAAAGCTCTGAGCAGCTCATTAAAAGCCGAGCACTGTCTGTCCTGCTGAGACATTTGTATTATTATGAGGAGAGAAGCATGATTAATCACTAAAGTAGAAGGAAAACAACTGCAGCAGAACAGGAAACTACAAACCCAATTGTCTCAAGATGCCCGACATCCAAAGGCTGACAAAACCATTCCGGATCTTGACAGAAGCCTGCATCGAGGCAACATGTTACACAGCAGTAATGAACTTTTCTAAGATGGAGCTGTACTCTGCAGCCAATTAAAGGAGAGGAAAACGTGATTTGTCACACACGAGCCTGAAGTGAGCGACCATCTTGTTGCGGGCTTCCCATTTCTACCCAACTAAGGCAGGCGGCACGTGACAGGTGATGCGCAGCACAACAGCTCACATACAGTAAGAACCCCCCACCAACGCCGCTGACTAACCACACCTTACAACCTAAGTAAAAACATTTCAGTCGGTTTAGAAAAGAAACTAAAAACAAAACCCAGAAACAGACATCTCTCCCTCGGAAGGAAAAACTACTACGTTGTCTGAAAAGGACTCTACAAACCTATAAAAGGACTCTTCTTTTCAATCTAGTCTGGTAGCTCAAAAGGAAGTTACTCAACTACGGCACTACACAGACACTTAACATTCAGTCAGAAAGGCTCTATGAAAAGAGCTTAAAAAATTATCGACCTGAGTTTGTAAGTTGATACAATCATTAATAGAAGGTCTAAGACCATGCAGGTACACAAAGCATTTTTAGAACCATTATTGGTTAAACAATGATGGAAAAGATGCCACTCTGGCTTGCCAACCCGTAAGATCACTTAGAGACATCAATGTACGTTTTCCACCATAACATTTACCAAACCCAACACAGCTCATCAATATTAGGGAGTTTCTGTACCCGCTTCCATCAACCCCACACGTGAGCGGGGGAAAGAAAAGAGATCTTCCAATACAGTGATCTGAAAATGTGCTTCTGCAACTTCACTCCACAAGGGGAATGCTGCACGTCACTATTAAAGTTGCGTAAAAACCCAACATTCTGGTTTTCAACTGCCTCTCCTGACAATATCTGAACTTAAATCGCCCTCCAGGAATAGGAACTTGGTTGCTTTGTCATGGTGGAAAAAATCCCATTGTGTCAAGAAAGCTACTCCTATGATCACCAAGTCTAACACAAATCAGTATCATATTCCCTTCAAGCATTCGGTATAGCATTGCATTTGCAGCAATTGTAACATCAGTCTTTCCAAACAGGAACGGGACAACTTGGAGGTGTGCATAAGAGTTTTCTCTTGTAGAGAAGACCTAAAGGTCTTAAAGACGTAAGAACACTGAAAATGGACAAGGAGTATGTCAGCCAGTAGTGTCATAATACTGAACAGTCTACATCTCCATACTTAGTGGTGAAAACGGAACAAACTCAAGTGTTTCAGGTATCTCAGGCCTGTTTGCCAGAATACACGAACCTTTGGTTTCATTTACAGATTCTCTAGCAAGGGCAGCTTATTATTTCCAGGGGCGGGTAGAAAAACGCCACCAGAAGCAAGAAGTCTTCATATTGTATGCACTATCTGTTTAAATTAAATGCCTGTCCAAAAGGCAGGATGAATTCTTTGCCAAGGCCGATTTCTCAGCTATTTCTCAAACCTGTCTGATGCTAAACTGAGGTAGATGATTAACTTCTGCAAAGCGAGGTAGAACTTCAAGAAAAAGATAGTGGCATCTCTCATTGTGCATTTTGTACCACGTCGGACTGGGTTTCAAACTCCCAAGAACTTGAAAACCAAAAGGTACAATATTTGCCTAACACAAGTACCAGTGTTCATTTTTATACAGTTCCAAACTGTGTCTAAATATCTCTATTTTTAAATACCTCTTACCTTTTGGCACCGTTTGGCTTACACTCCTTTAAAAAAAAACAAAAACAAAAACAAAACACTTTGGCACAATTTCTTTTAAACCAGAAACTAAGCAAATTTTATGATCAAAGATATGGCCTGATAAGGCTATCAACCTGCACTCTTCAGAAATGATTTTGGTTTCACTGTAACAAAACAGACCGGGCCCATTTTCCTGCAGTTCCAAGAGAACGCTACACCCAAGCGCCTTGCTTTCTTCCCTCACCTTAGCTATGTCTGGCCCCAATACACATCAGTTTTTCAGACACTGTCCTCCTTTGCTCGCTTTCTTTATAGTTATGGGCTTCCTTTAAGCTACTTAAAAGGTACTACACAAAAGGAGTGAGCTATCTGAAGGACCTGCATTATCAAGTATTGTATCTGCTTCAGCTCGGTGCTGAAGTTCCTGCTTAACTGCAAAGGAACAAGATTGCTTCACAGGCTGACCCTGGAGCAGCCATACTGACTGCTGATAACATTGTCAAGCAAGTTTACTGAGAGCCACCGGTTTAACCTGGCAAGGTGGAATTTCTTTGGGAGTTCTAGTCAACAGGTCTACCCACATCTCTCCTTTGCCAATGCTAGAGCTAAGAGAAAGAGGCACCTCGGCCTTCTCCACGCCACCTCTGCTGGTTCACATTACTCCGAACACTTCGGCTTGTTTGGTTTGCAATGCAGCATCAAAGCCTTGCTTTTTTTTTTTCTCCCCACACACCTTCACCATGCATGGGTGATACTGGGGCATCAATCTTAGAACATGCACAGCCCAAGAACACTCATGGAAAAAAAAAAGCAAGGTTTGAGTCTCCTTAATTAATTATATATTACTTTTTAAAAGCTCCTATGGGGCATCCGCTGTTAGCATTGAACTTGTATATTATTGTTGCTTATTTTCATTGCATATAAAACACTCCA